AGCCTTATATATGGCAAAACTTATTTATAGTCACCATCTGTAATATATCACAATTGAATTGGCATCGCACACGGCGTTACAGTACATTACTGTGTATTTACATAAGCATTGACAATCACATGCACATGTATAACCTGACATTATTTTGTGGAGATGCAATGTAATCACACACTGTTTATCATTAATATGGTAATCAATTATAGTAGCAGGTAAGAAACATTGACACTGTAATGTAGGATTACCATATAATCAAATGTTGACAAATGCAGATTTTTGGTTGATACTGTACATTCTGCAGCACAACCGCTCCATTGGGTCTATGACCTGCAGAAGCTGAGCATGTTACTCTCTCAAAGTCCTGAGCCTGAATTCCGGCCTGAGTCTGCAAACCCATTCTACAGGAGGAACACTGGACAGCAGAGCTGCTATGGAGATCAAGCATTCGTCCTCCTGGAGTCCCTGTCTGAGTGTAGAGGTGAAAAATACAAGACATGATACATTCCCGTATGTAAGAATATGAAAGGTGAAACTGTGTGTTTGAAAACCTGACTATATGGTATATAGTAAATAGCACCATATTATTTGACTATGTTGTGGTTAATGGGATGTCGATTATTCAGTTATTTGTTTATTTGTTCAAACAGATCTGAATGTGGAAGATTTGAAGCAGCGCACCTACAAATTCTTTGGACCTGGATCTGAATATGACACACATAAGGGTCAATGATCCTTACAGAGACAAAGGAGGTACATTTAATCCACTGCACCTGGAACTTTTCATCTTTATTTACTTTTATAGTAGTTCTTCTTGAAATATTTGATGTATTTGTTTTTCTGCACTATGAGAACTCAGGTAATCCTTTATACTACAAACAATTGTAATATATATATATATATATATATATATATATATATACACACGATACAAGCTTTCATTTTTTATATTTGTATTTTTCATTTTCAGTTTTAATTTTAATTTTAAGTAGTTAGTTGACGGGAATATTTCAAACTTTCATTTAGTTAAAGTTTTTTGTGTAATATTTGTATTTTATTTCAGTTATATTTCATTCAACATTTTTTAATAGTTCTTCAACAGTATATTATAACCATTTGCATGTTTGTCTGTCATTTTGACTCATGACCCTAGACAGATGGTGAAGTTTGTATTGTTTCAAATATGGCCCCCAGGCCTCAACTACCTCTTGAAGGACCCTGGAGACAAGCAAGCCTTAAGAGCTTTATTAAAAATGTGAATGCAGGCAAAGCAGAGACAGGTACTGTCAGTTCTGTTGCTGAGAATGACTAAGTCAGATAACCATCCTCCTAAATATTTTGTGTAGCCACATTATTGTTAACAAATACAAATTAATTTTAATGTTTTTCAAAGATATAATTATAACATTTTAAAGGGGTCATATGATGCGATTTCAATTTTTCCTTTCTCTTTGGAGTGTTACAAGCTCTTGGTGCATAAAGAAGATCTGTAAAGTTGCAAAGACTAAA